CCAGAGAAGGACAGCAGGTCTGTGATCCTGGATCACAGAGAACACCCTGAAGTACACCCCTGACAGAGAATACACGGAGGTATGTATATACCCTTGACCACAGAGAACTCCCTGAGGTACACACTGGATCACAGGGAACACTCAAGGTATACCCTCAACCACAGAGAACACTCTGAGGCATACCCTCAACCACAGAGAATATTCTGAGGTACACCTCAGATCACAGAGAACACCTTGAGGTACACCTTGGATCATGGATCACAGAAACACTCTGAGGTACACTCTTGACCTTAGAGAACACTCTGAGGTATACCCTGGATCACAGAGAATACCCTGAGATATATCTTGGATCACAGAGAACACTCTGAGGTACACCCTCAACTTCAGAGAACACTCTGAGGTACACCTTGATCATAGACAAAACTCTGAGGTACACCTTCAACCACAGAGAATACTCTGAGGTACACCTGTGTTACAAGAAACACTGAGGTACACCCTCAACCACAGAGGACACCCTGAGGTACCCCTGGATTACAGAGAACACTCTAAGGTATACCTTGGATCACAGAGAACACTCAAGGTATACCCTCAACCACAGAGAACACTCTGAAGTACACTTTGGATCACAGGGAACACCTTGACGTACACCCTGGATCACAAAGAATACCCTGAGGTACACCCTTAACCACGGAGAATACTCTAAGGTATACCTTGGGTCACAGGGTACACCGTGAGGTACACCCTCAACCACAGAGAACAGCCTGAGGTACCCTGGATCACAGAGAATATCCTGAGGTACATCTTCAACCACAGAGAACACTCTGAGGAACACCCTTGATCACAAAGAACACTCTGAGGTACACCCTCGACCACAGAACCAGCCAGACATGATCTGGCAGGAGGTGGGGCATGCTACAGACCAAGGACAAATATATGCTACTGACTCAACCTTGGCCAGAAAACACAGGTGCAGAAACCAAGTATGAAGTTGGATAGAGGGTCTAACCACATTACACCTAAAGAGCCTCTCAAAAATTTTCTTCCAGTCCCTGCTGTTCCCAGGGTATCTGAGGGCAGACCTATCTGCCAGGAGGCACAGTAACAGTTCCTCTAAACTGGAAGCCAACAACACTGCTTGGCTTTTCCCTCCTATTTACCACAATGGGAGCAGGAAGAAAAAAGGGTCTTTGTATTAGAATAGTGCATGATTCAGTCTGTGTTTGAATCCTAGTTTTGTCACTGGCTTCACCTCCATGTCTCATGTATAAAATCGAAAGGAGCACCTATGCAGTACCTGGCACATTGAAGGCACTCCAGAAATGTTAGCCATTATGGATATGGTGATTATTTCCTGTTTTAATACTGGGACATGGAGCTGCCAGTGAGCCGTAGGAACTGGAGGGGTAGGGGTTCAGCCCAGGGGCCCCTGGGACACCTCCTTGTACTCCAGTATCTTATAGACATTAGCTGACAATCACTGTGTCCTTACGCAAAAAGGACCCCTCAGGGCCCAGACCCTTTGGGAATGGAGATCAGCAATGTCCCAACAGGGAAAGGCCTCAGCCACCTAAGACCTGGCTGAAGGTGAGGGGTTTGAGGACCAGGCATGAAGTGTCTCTCATACTCTGGCTCCTCCAACCGGCTCCTGACCAGCATGTAAGACTTCAGCCTGAGCCTTCCTTTCCAGCCACAGGTCCATTCTCATCCAGGACCTGGAGTCCATGAGGGAGATCATCTGCTGGGCCTGCCACCCCACCATGACTTCTCCGACCCACTCTGCCTGCACCCCTTGCGACACCCCATCTCCCTGAGTCCAAAGCACTGTGTGTGCTTCATAAGTGGCTCTGCTACTCCCCAGTTCTCCATCACCTCATCCTCATCACTCATCCCATGATGGCCACACTCATTTCCCCACCACTTTGGAGTCCGTCATGTTCTTCTCTTGTATGCCTCTCAACGTGCTGTGCCCTCTACCTGGAACCCCCAATCCTGCCTTCAGCTCTCTCTGCTCTATTCTGGAAGAGTTGGCTCTGTGTGACTTAGGGGCCCCTTCCATAATTCCCACCACACCTGAGGGTCACCTCATCATAATTCTGGTTCTACCACAGAGTATCCTCAGCTTTTCCTCTCTGCATCTTGAAGGACATACCAATCTGTATAACCCCCAGCACAAACACCTCTGAAGGGCAGAAGTGAGCGTCTCACCCTTGTGTAGCCAGGGCCTGGGGAGGCTGACCAGAGATGTGCTCATCATGAACCCCCAAACTCAAATACAGTGAGGGCTGACAGAGGCTTCCTTTGTTAAAAGACAGCAAACTGTTAGATTTCAAAAATAACTTAAGACAAAATTTCTTTTTTATTCTCGAGCAAGAAGCCAGACATTGCCAAATCTATTTAGAGAGTTCACCAAAAGGCTGCTACCCCTGCACTGGTGGTCCCACCACCACGAGACTCCATTCAGGGGGCCATACAGACTGGGGGTCCTTGACGCTGGGGGTTGCTGGCCAAGGTCAGGGCTCTCTGGGTCTTCTGAGGGAGAGGAAAGGTCCAGGGAGGAGGCTGGACTCTTGGGGCCTGGCCTCACTCCAGCTTGTCCCCAGTCCCTGGGATTTGCCCTCAGCCTGTCAGCCCCCCCCCCCCCATCCGCACCGCCTGCTTGTAGGGACTCGTTTTAATTAATGCCAGAGCTGGGCCAACCACTGGGGCCGTGACACTTGTTTGCAGGTCATCTCCTCCTAACAGGTTCTCCCTGGGAGGGGATTTGTCACTAATTGAAGCAGAGATCAGTTAATGAGGCCGCGGGCCCAGGGTTCCAGAGAACAAGGGAAAGGAAAATAAACTAAAGCTTCTTTCTTTGGAGGTTTTGTGATTTACACACACAAAAGAAAAGCGAGCAAGCTGCAGATTTTCCAAGTCAGAAACTCCACTCCATCTGCCGAAGCTAGCCCCTCACTGTGTGAAGACGTCAGGCAGAGGGACGCCGCTACGGTTGAGACCATGGGTCTAGTCGGAGAGGGGCCTCCCGAGGCCAGCAATCAATCAGCAACCTAATTAACAAGCATTTATGGAGCAGAGCTTGTGCCCCCTCGGCGGGGGAGAAGACACAGGGCCTGTCCCTGGTTAACTTGTAATCTAGGGGAACAATGACAGGACAGGACATGGGGCGTAACAGTGTGTGGGAAGGACAGAAGTTTCTGGAACTTAGGGGTGGGGGCATAGTTTGGACTGGCATAGTCAGGAAAAGCCTCTTTGAGCACCCTGCACCTTGGCAGGGTGTTGGAAGGAGGGTGTCCCCAGCACAGGCACAGTCCCTGAGGCCCCCAGTCCTTGAAGTAAGACTATGCTTCTGAGAGCCTAGAGGGTCCCCCAGTCCCCAGTAACTGCAGCCACAATCTGGGTTGGCTCTGATCCTAGGAAGTGGTAGGGATGGAATAACCAAGGGCCCCTTGGGTGGGGCAGAGAGCGTGGAGCGCCATGCCTGTAGGAGGAGGAGGACGGCCCACCATGACAGTGGTCCTTTTTACTCCAGCCCTTTCCAGTCCAGGCCACTCAGTATAATCCCTGATGTGACTTCCTCCCTTAGCTTTGCCCTACCTCACCCTTAAATCTCAAAGAAGGAAAATGGGATTTTCAAGCTGCTAAACTAGACTCCTCTAGTTATGAAGAGCAAGGAGGAGAGCCCCTTCCCCTCTCTCACCAGAACCCTGATCTTTGCCAGTAGCCCCCAGAATCAGGGACTGCTGATTTGTGTGACCCTAAGTGAAGTCTCTGCTGGGCTGCAGACTACCAGGGTGGGGTTTGAGGCCTCCTGGCAAAAGCCATCTGAATAGATTTGGAAATGTCTGGCTTCTGGCTTGGGGTAAGATAAGGATTCACGGAGAAGCTTGATCTTGGGCACAAAGTGGGGATCACTCCCCAACGGGTCATTTGGAGAGGACACGGTCTACATGGGAGCAGAATCAATGAAGCCATCACAAAACAATCGCAGATCCCTACTTTCCCAGAACAGTGAAATAAATGATGGTGTATGGTACAGTGGGTTAGTACAGAGTTGTGAATAATTATTATATTTAATGACATGGGAAAGATGAGGAAAGTGGGATTATTATATGTGAATTCCTTCATTATATATGAATTTTTAATTTTGCATTTTCTAAGTGTATTTATTGTGTGGTAAAATAACAAAGTTGTGAAGTGACCTTTACCCCCTGGAGTCAGCTATAGGAGACTACCCAGCTAGGATCTAGACAGTACAGATGGAGATGCAAGGGTGGGCTCATGAGTGGGATGAGTGTAGTGAAGGTCCTGGGAACTTGAGCTTCCACTCTGGCTCTGGCCCAGGCCCTCACTGTGTCGCCTGCACTCAGCCCTCTCATCTGGGATGCAGCCTTATGCTCACGTAGTCAGTTTACAGACCTAGCCTACTTAATAGCTGCTTTATTCTCAAAGTCCTGTGGGATTCAAATAAACCTATTGCCCCTGTCTTGAGGAGCTTATAGGCCTCCAGGAGGAACTGGATATATGACCCCATCACCAAAGATGGGGATGAGATGAGAGTGTCCTGGGATCTCAGGCACAGAGCAAAGGGGAGCTAACATGTGGGCCAGCTTTACAACTGTTCCCAAGCCCCTTGCTTCCTGCATCAGCCACATTATTCAGAGTGAAGAGCAGCTCCTCTGCAGAGGGTTCTGATGAACATGGGCCCCTCTAGCGACAGACATCCTGCCCTCAGCTGGAGTATGTAGCCCTTTGCCGTTTGCATCACTCATGGGCACCACCTCACCTCCCCACCTGCTCTCTAAAATCTGCAACACTCTCTCTAATAAAGTTCATGCCTCTCTATTAAAGTGTCAGCAGAATCTACTCTCTTCTCTGCCTAGAAAGCCAGCCCTGGTGGCCCACCCACACAAACCTCTGTCTCCTACACCTTCACCTGGCCCTGACTTCAGACAGGTCTGGCCAGGGCTGCAGGACACAGAAGTGGGGACAGAGTTACTCACAGCGATGGAGACGGCACTGATGACAGCTCCCAGGTAGCCCTGGATGAACTTGGACGCCGGGGAAGGCTGGAAGGCAGAGAGAAATTTCCAGGCCCACTGGGTGCCCAAAGCTGCCATACCCTGCCTTGCAAGCAGCCCCAGCCAGCAAGAGATGTTCCTGCCCACCAATAGGTGAGAAGGAGGTCCCTCTGGAAGCCAAGGGGATCTGGGCCTCTATCAGCACAGCTCCCTTCATGGATATACAGGGCAGCGAAGGGGACGCCAAAGGGCCTGCTGCACTCTCGCCCCGTTCTAAAGAGCTCACTGGCAGACCCTGCTGGCTGGAGGTAGGCAACAGCAAGGGCCAAAATGGGTCATTTATGGTGGGGGTGAACAGATCCAATGTAGGAAAAATGAGCGCTGGAAGTGGGCTGCTGGCACCTGGAGGACCGCCCGGTGGAAATGGCGGTGCCATGACTGGCACACCTGGTGGCCTCTCCGATGCCTTGTCAACCCCCAGGCGCAGCAACCAGGCTGCCAATCCAGCAGATGACAGTTGCTCCACATTTCTACAGGAAAATGCAACCCAGTTGCAATGGACAACATTAAGAAAGGGCTACAGAACTTGCCTCTAACTAACTGCTCTGACGGTAATTTTGGAGGTGTTTGGGTTAAGGTAAATGGGAGCCATCCAGGTAGAGGTATACGTGTGTGGATCATATGCCCAAGATGCAGATTGAAGGTTTAGATGGGGGGGGGGAAGGCATCCTCAGAGTTTCAGGACCCAAAGTTCCTACCACCCAGGCCAGCCCCTAACTCTCTCCTGTCTCCCCCAAGGTTAGAGAATGCCCACACCTTCTCCTCCCCCAGGTGATAGCCTCCTAGGGAGATCCAGACTCCTCCTCCTCTCTCACTGGCTTTGGACAGAAGTACAGGACGGACAGCCTTGCCAGTGAAGCAGGGGCCTAGCTCCCCTCTAGACAAGGGAAGGGGGACAGGGCCTCCACTAAGAGCTTGTTCCAGAAGTGCAGGGGACTTTGGGGAGGAGGTGCCGGTACCCTCAGACCCCTCACCCATCGAGAGCAGCCCTTCAACTTTACAGCCAACAGTCTGGGGGCACCAAGGCAGCTTCCAGGCAAGCTTGGAGGAAGCTTTAGGGGAATTCAGTCCCCATGTGGCTGATGCCATCCTAATCCAAGATCTGGGGATAAGAGTTGCCCAAGGAGGATTTTGAAGCCAACAGAGCTCATCCCTCTCACCGCCTCCACTATATTCCCATTTTCTGGGTCCTCTTCACTTCATGTGAACAGCCCCTCCCTGGTGGGTCCCTTCCCGAAGGGTGGGCAGTTTTAAATCAGGTGCTTTGAGGAGGACAGTGCTTAACTCAGAGGAAACAGCCCCCGCTGCTTCGGCTCGCCATACCATAGGGAGAATGAGGGTCACCCCGGCCTGTTCCCTGCCACTGCACAGCAGGCTGTGGTGCTCACCTTGGTAGCATTGCGGTTTGCATAGTTGACACAAGCGTTATGGCTCTGGTTCAGCCACTGAAAGGCAATGGGGGAGAGGAGATGTCAGGGAAGGTGTGACATCGAGGCCAGAGAGACATGGGGTGCTGTCCACATGGTGGACAGGTGGTTCTGTCCACCCCACAAGTCAGCAGGACCAACTGTTCCAGCTTGCCTGACATTGTGCCAGTGGCAGCACTGGAGCCCTGGGAAACCCCTCCATTCTAGGCAAACCAGGACAGGGATCCTGCCCATACCGGCAGCTCATCCCGACCCAGAGATAGTCACCTCTCCTGGAATCATGCCCCATCCATTGTCCCAAACGGGCCTCACTTCTGTTAACACACATCATCCTTGTTATATTACTTATTGGAGAAAGTCAACATTCGCCCCTCTGAATGACTGCCAGCCCTGAACCTCTTTCAAAAACATCTCAGCCCAGTGTCTTGCGCTATTGTAGTGCCCAGATGTGGACGCTGTTAGAAGTTTTGTTAGGGAAAACTTTGATGTTTTTTCCTGAAGACAGGTTTTTCTTCTTACTTTACTTTTTGCACAGGCACACAAATACACCCCCCCCCCCCACACACACACAAGGCTTCAACTGTTTTTAGGGAGCCACGGCCCAGACTCTAAGAATGGACACCAGGGTCTGTGGTACCTTTCCATAAATACTTGCTACCTTAAGGTTGTTGATGGATTTACCTTCCCCATGGACTTGAATGAGGCCGAGGGCCTCAAGGTCAGAGGCCTTTGGACAATCAGCCAAGGAGCAGCAGGCAGCCACAAACAAGCCCTCATCCCCATATGCAAAAATTAGAGAGTCACAGGGACACCTGGGTGGCTCAGTGGTTGAGTGTCTGCCTTCAGCTCAGGTCATGATCCCAGGGTTCTGGGATTGGGTCCTGCATTGGGCTCCCCTCAGGGAGCCTGCTTCTCCTTCTGCCTATGTCTCTGCCTCTTTTTCTGTGTCTCTCGTGAATAAGTAAAATCTTAAAAAAACAAAATTAATCACATAAAATAGCCTAGGCATGGGCCGCTAGGACCTGCTCAGCAAAATCCAAAGTCCTGGGGTTCCCCAGTGGCTACTGGGTCAGGGAGGAGTGGGAAGTGGGTTGACTCTCCCCGAGGGGCCTCGACAGGGAGCTCTAACCAGCACTGTTGGGTCTTTCCTTCAGGAGCCCTCTGTTGCCAGGGACTGTTACCTGCCAGAAGACTGTGGATGCCAGTGTCTGGTTGGGCAAGAGAAGACCAACTACCTACAAGAGAAAGAGAGGAAAACCTGAATAAAGCAAAAGAAACATCCTACACTTTTGCAAAGAAGAATGACACAGCCATGAACAAAAGTAAACTGGATCTGTACAAACTGAGGTGGATGATGGGTATATAAACTGCTAACCACAGTGGGATGGTATGTGATGGAAGTGAACCAGGTTGCATAATAATTATATCACAGTACAATCCCATTTTTGTCAAGAAAAGAAATCACATCGTGTGTATAACCATATACACAGACATAGGCATATACGTAACTCCACGAAAAAAATCTATACCCCAGCATGTAGATGTCTCTGGAGGTCAGGCTACAGTACTTTCTCACATTCTTCTTGAATATTCCTGTATTCTTTTAAATATTGGACATGTATTACTTCCATAACTAGGGGAGGGGGAACGATAAAAACAAACAAGTAAACAAAAGGAACATCTTTACTTCCACTTAGCTAACCCAGCTCTTTCATACTCTTGCCATCCCATAGGATTTTTGTGAGTATTAAAATATAATGCTGGGGGTGCGTGGCTGGCTCCATCGGTGAAGCGTCTGCCTTCAACTCAGGTTATGATCTCGGGGTCCTGGAATCAAGTCCGGTGTTGGGCTCTCTGCTCAGCAGGGAGCCTGGCTCTCTCTTTCCCTCTGCCCATCCCCCCACTCATGTTCTCTCTCTCTTTTGCTCTCTCTCTCTTTTGTTTATTTATAAATAAAACTTTTTTAAAAAAGTAAAATAAAATATGATAAAAATCATTTCCAGGGCCTTATATACTTTATAAATTCAAGCAGGGGGAATTTATATCTGTTATCTCTGAGCCCCCACGAAGAAAACCTACACCACATACAAGCTTAAGCTATCGATTGAAACACAGATGTCTAATAAATACTTGCTAAGGGAGCAAATGGACCAATGGATGAACAAGCACACACATGGCTGAATACTGGTGCTGAGGTATGGATTCATTATTCCCAAAGCCCAAATGTCACTTAAGAGGTAGACTTGCTGACTTTGTTTTTTCGGTTTAGGTCAAGATTAATTGTCTCATCTGGACAACTGGCCAAACTTTGGACTTCAGGAATCCATGTGTCTCTCTCAAGTTTACCTTTTGAGTGCTTGTGTGCAAAATAATATCTACCAAGTACCATGCATATGGGAAAAATGTGCACAACCATCCACATATTGACTTATTTATTATTCCTGTAGATAAAATGGCTCTTTGGCAAGAATTTCTGTAAGGAACAAGTATAAACATTCAATACTACACAGTAAATCAAATTCTAGACATCCTCAGCAGCATTTGTAAATCATGTTTTAAACATTAAAATGTTTTAAGACAGCAAACACACACATTTATATTTATTGGCCCATATCAGTTTGAATAAAATTATATAATGTAAAGCCATTCCATAGCTCCAATGAGGAATTATCTTACGACATTTTTCTCCCCAAAATGAGATCTCAGTTCAATTTTTCTCTGCAGCAACAGCCTAGAGTCCTGGAATGAGACTCAGGAGAGCCTGGAGCTCAGCCTCAGCCCATTCCTGTGTGATCTCTAGCCGACGGTGTCTCCAGCAGAAGACGGTCCCCTTTAGGGCTCTAGCTTTCTTACCTTGGTTTAAAATCCCATTCTCAGGGTTCAAATAGGAAGTATGAAGTCATTTGAGATAGCCTCAGTGCCTGTAAAGGGAATCCCTCCTCACCCAGCCTGGCCAAGAAATATCCCTGGGGACCCAGGACCTGCCCCTCGTCAGCCAGGAGTGAGACCACAGAGAGGAAGCTGAGCCTAAGAAGAGAGGTCTGAAGTTGGGAGTCGACAATGTGATCCCAGAAAGTGTGTGTGTGTGCATGCATGTGTGAATTCATGTACACATATGCATGTCTGACAGCTTCTCAAAGCCTAAAGAGATAAAAGCTATTCTTCACTGTTGGGAACTGAACTCAGGAATTCATTCTCCTAATCTGTTGGTTTATAGAGCCTGGGTGTATTATGGACAACATTGTCTTCTCCTCCTCAACCTCCCTTAGACCTCCTAACTGAGCTTGGGCTGTCAGAAGCATCATAAGATACAGCCCCTTGGGACTCACTGTATTTACCAGATAAACCATTGTCCAGGACACTCATTGCTCTTTATATCGCAGAGTCCCCTTTATGAATCCTCCTGGGGGAAATTTTTCTGGTCTTGGGGTCAGGAATTCATACTTCTGAGCACCTGGTTTGCATCTGTCTTGCAAACATTGAGCATTTAACTGGGTCTCTTTTCACTGACTGTTGAGAAGCTCAGGCCAGATCTCCACAGCTCATATCTGTCAAGTATACAGACCCTCACTGCATGTATTTTGTGCCCAAACTTCACTCCTAGCTTCTTCCCTTTCCTAAACTTCTCTCTCATTTTTTGTCTTTATTTGTATTTTCTGGTGGCTGGCATTTTTTTAATGTGACATTAAGTCTTTTCCAGAATAAACCATAGCACTAAACTAAACTGAAACAGTACCTAGGCTATGTAATACACACACATACACACACACACACACGTACATAAACGCAGTTTGTAACCTGTGAGCTTTTTTCCTTGTTGGCCAAACCCGACCAACCTCCTGCTCTAACATGGGCCTGATATCCATGCTGAGCACCTCTGACTCCTTCTATATTCTTTTTTAAAAAATTTATTCATGAAAGACACAGAGAGAGGCAAGAGACACAGGCAGAGGAAGAAGCAGGCTCTCTGTGGGGAGCCTGATATGGGACTCAATCCCTGGACCTGGGATCATGACCTGAGGCAAAGATAGACGCTCAATCACTGAGCCACCCGGGTGCCCCTCCTTATACGTTCTTATTTGATTGATTGATTGATTGATTGATTGATTTTGCTAAGCATTTCCCCTATATCACTTACCATGATCCTGATCAGAACTCTGGGGCTCACACAAAATAGAGATTACTTTCTATATTTTACAAATGGGAAACCTGAAGCTTACAGAAATTCAGTGATTTGCTCAAGGCTTTGCAGCTAGAGAAAGTCAGAAAGCTCTCCTGAGTCCTGGCTTAAGGGCTCCAGCTCTATGATTTTGGGGTTCCTTTTCCAGCTTATTCACCTGAGCACAAAGGAAGAGTCACACTCTATGCCCCTTTTCAAACATCTTCCATGCACCAAGTTCCATGGTGCTCCCAATGGACAATACAGGAAGAGAGGACCATACAGCGCCTAACCACAATAAACATGAAGACCAAACAGGAAAATGTATGAGAATATCCTTTCTCACATTTGAACACAAAAATGACCAGGTGATTTAATCAGGTACTTGGGTATGTCAAGTTGATAAATGCAAATATCCAAACCCGGAGCTCAGGAAGGACAGGTCAGAGTGCTTGGGCTATGTGCCAAAGGAGGTGGTAGGCTGGAGCTGGGATGTGCACACATGCTTATGTACATGCGTGCATGTGTATGTGTGCATGTGGGGGCGGGGCAAGAGAGCACACTCACAGGAGCAGGGACAGCCAAGAGATTTGGCCTTATTAAAGGAGGAGGTTTGAAAAATCAGACCCGGGTGAGGTTAGGGGCAGTGGAAAGCCATGCTGCATTGTGCCCCCAAATGGGGCCCAAGGGAAGCATCTGAGGCTGAGGCAAGGGGAACAGGGATCCCACTTTCCAGGTCCTACAGTCAAGCTGCTGGCTGGGGCCAGGAGCACATGGGTGCCAGCCCCATTCCCTATTAGGCAACACACAGCACCATCTGCACAGTCCCAGGAGCAAGAGCAGATATTTTATAACTTCCTTTTTTCTTTTTAAGTCTAAATTAAAAATAAATGTTCCTTCAGTTCTCAGATGTATATCTCTGGTGCAACCTGCCCACATTCCCCCACGCTGCCCTTTCCAGAACATGGCAGGGGAAAGGAGGAAAGAGATGGATAGAGAGAGGGAGCCAGTCCACCCGGCTTCAATGCCAGTGGATTGCACCTCTTCCAAGAGGGAAACGCTTCAGGCGTGGCCGCGCAGACGGGTGGAGAGAGCCCAGAAAGTGGCTGGTACCAGGGAGAGTGGAAGGAGAGCCAACAGCCAGAATTTCCAGCCCAGCCTCCCCGCTATCTTGCTGCAGGACCTTGGCCAAATCGCACATCCTATCTTTGCTCCCATTTATAGTTTGTAATACAGCTAGGGTCCCCTCCTCGGCTCCCGCCCCATGGCAGCTGTCCTCTTCACACATCTGTCCACTTTTGCTGCTCTGCTTCCCCTCAAGTGGCCATCCATAGGCCCTGGGGATTAACACACAGGCTCTGGTCACAGAAAGAGCCAGACTTAAATCCTAGTTCTAGTATCTACCAGCCATGTGACTGCACACAAGTTACTTGAGCTCTTCATACCCCCATTTTTTTCCATCTGTTAAATGGGGCCACCCTGGTAGTTTTCTGGATGGCCATGGGGGGAGGCAAGGCATAGAAAGAATTTTGCCCAATGTCTGGCGTGCAGCAAGAAATCATTAGGTGCAAGGTGTCAGTATGGCTCCTCTCCTCCTATCTCATTCATTTCTAGTTTTTGCTGGTCTCTCATTTCTCTGAACTCCACAATCTGCATTACATAATCAAGCATCACCTTGCCCCCATCTTGTCTTTGAACACAAGCCTCATCCCTCAAAGGATAGTGAGCTCCTGAAAGGTAGAATTGGGGCTTTTCTCTCTGAGGTCCTCCAAAGCACTCAGCACAAAGCTAGGCCCACACTGTGCTGTATGTACTAGAAGAATACTGCTAATTCATTATTAAGAACATTAAATCTTGGGGGCGCCTGGATGGCTCAGTAGGTTAAGCCTCCAACTCTTGATTTCAGCTCAGGTCATGATCTCAGGGTTGTGGGATCAAGCCCCACATCGGGCTCCATGCTCAGTGTGGTGTCTGCTTGTCCCTCTCTCTCTGCTCTTCCTCCTCCCACCTCTAAAATAAATAAATAAAATCTTAAAAAAAAAAGGAACATTAATTCTTGGTCCGGGAAAAGATCTA